ACATACCGCCTGCACAAACAAGCACTGCTATGGCAAACATATCGGATTTTTGCACATTCTTGATCACGCATTGTTTTCTCAAAATAATCATGCCTGTATAGACGTGCCTCGCTTTGTCGAGAATAAAAGCTTTATTTATTTATTTATTTAATTAGACGTTACTATACGGACATTACAGTAGCTTCACGCCTGTCAAGTACAAACTTTGCCTCGTGAGAACGCTGTTTCATTGAGCTCGCAGAAAATACAGCCACGAATTTTTAGTCTGACTTGCAATTTATTACGTAGATGCTGCGAGCGAATGGCTACCCTACTGCCTTTATTACTTTCCACGGCCTCCAGAGAGAACAAAACAAACAAAAGCCCCATTCCGTATCCGAAATGTCCGGCTATCTCCAGTTGCCATTCAAAGGAGATGCCGTGGCAAAGCAAGTCGAGCGACTTGTAGCTACGGAAATTCGACGGACATTCCGTGCTGCCAAGCTGTTCCCTCTTTGGACAACCAGGAAGTTATTAATGTCTCCGGTTAAGCTTTCCTTACCGACCTCCGCCGCAACACATTACATTTACCACTTTGTCTGTAGCTGCGGAAGCATTTACATAGGCAGGACGAATCGAGTCGAGGAACACATTCCGAAATGGGTCAGTGCACTTACGAGAGGTCAAACACCATGATGCACGATAAGCTCCAAAAAGCCGACCTCATCGATTGCTGAGCGCCTACGAAGCACATGTTATCAAGTTTACCCGAACGTGGTATTTACGATGGCCTACAGCAATATAAACGGCAAATTACTCATGCTACGTGAGGCCGGAGCCATCATTGTCAACCCTGACCTTTGTGTGCAAAAACAGCTGACTGTCTACTCAAGCTTCCTTGGGCGACCGTCGCACTTCGTTTAGCACTTGTGATTTTGCGGTTGCCTGTGCTTTTCTGTGCTTTCCCTCTTAAACATTCAAACTATTCTTCGTTTGAAGTGTTGCCATTTTGCATATGATCTGAAAGTAAGAAATGGTATCCTCTTGCAACGTGCGTCTTCTCACAAGTAAAAAGCTGCTTGGGGTTCTAATGAGTAGTCCGTGCCGATCTCTGACTAACTGGGTGCGCGCAAAATTGGTCCAGTACATTCAGAGTTTCTTTTGGCATATGACCAATCAGTAAATGGCTGTATGCGCACCTAACCTTCCGTGACTGCAATATAGATAGAATAATGAAAATGCGAATAAAAAGTTGAGAGAGCACAAATAATGTTGTCGCAAAGGGCGGCATTGTTGACAGAGGCCTAGTACTTGGCATACGTCTGCGTGATCCTCTGAAACACATCCAAAGCTTAGCGCGAACTATTGCGTGATCAGAAGTCCAGACACATTGGCCACTACGATCGGCGGCAGTCTTTCAGGCTCCCGCGCCATCTGTAGCATTTTGCTATGCGGTCAAGCTTGGACCACTCTTGTGTTTATTAAGGCGGGTTCCAGGTAGCAGTCTATCTTTTCGAGTGCCGAAAGTTAGAGCTCGATGATCAGAACAAAGTGTCAGTAGTCTGTGTCCATTGTCTGATTGACTGCTCCCAAGGCTTGGTGGCAGGCGGCCCACTCATGCGGCAAGGACGGCAAAATCAGGCTTTTTGTGATGAAAGCAATCCTTGACTGCATTCGAGCTGCAGTTTGCAGGGGAGTAGGTGGAGACGACAAATAAGGCACGCGTAACATCTCAACACTTACTTACCTTCCATGAACTTCGTAGCCTGGCTGCAAAAAACCAACTATTGACTGGGATGCAGTCAAGCAAAGCGGTCTCAGCCCTGTCACTCAGTGCTACTGCAACACCAGCCTGGCTAGAAGCGATGTCCACGCGGCCCCCGGGAAGATGCAAGTGGTATTTGAAAGCAGAGTTTTAAATCTGCTTCCGATGCCCACCGAGCGGGTAGCAAGATTACGGGACAAACATTCATGTCGATCAATCTGCATCAGAGCGCAAAAGCTGGAGGGCCGAATGGCAAAAAATGTCGGAGAACAGCTGGGGCTTCGGTGGAATGTGAAAACGCTGCGATCGCCCAACATCTAACACCATAAGTTTGCTTGTTGCTTCCATGAGGCGCGACCACTGAGTTGCTAACGGCGAGGAAATGGGAGAACATACGGTTGTGTGTAGTTGAAGAACGGGACGTGGTGTGGGTGAGGTTTGATCAATGGAGTCAGTAGAGCCAACGGAGGCAGCATAGCCGATGGTAAAGTTCATGCATCGTCAGTGTTCGTGATAAGTCAGTTACCGCAGGATGAAGCAGTGGGTTATCACAAGGGAGTACACTCAAAGCGCTTGATAAGGGAAGTTAATTACAGGATACCAGGGCGATATGAGGGTGTTACAGCATGTTGGGAACCGGTGATCAAGTACTTGATTCATATGCTTTTCGGCCCGTAAAGAATCAGGGGCACAACAAACCTTTAAATAACAATGCTACTCAGCGAGAGGTAAGGGGCAGTGACTTTATTTAGTGGTGGGTCCCGGTCGATTCGTCATTGTGCCACACACGCATATTGTGGCTTTTATAGGGAGACTGCTAGCCAGGCGAAAACCTACTACGTGATTGAGTAATACCAATGATTGACCGCGTTTGTTTATTCGTCAAGACCTAGACATACTTAGTTTGCAGCTAACCACACCTACAGACGAAAGACTATGGTTGTTTCCCTGGAGAGGAAAATCGCCTTTCACTGTGAGATTCGTGCAGGATTGTGGCACTATCTATCCGTGAAGGACGTACCAAGAAAAGTACTTTCCATTTTCAGGGATCTCACGTAAGGGTCCATGGAAAGCAACCTCCTGGATTCCTCACGACAAGAAGGGTTGGCCAGGATTATCGTACATCATCTTTTCTTCTCCACTGTGCGTTGAAAATGAGCAGGAATAACACCGTTCATTCGGGCTCTTCTGTAAGGTGACCAACCGACAAAGTCTGAGTATACGGACGACAGTTCTCTTTGGGTCTGACGCAGTGGCTATGCACGCACTACTGAATCGGCCTGTTCTTTGCATCTCCAAAGTGCAAAGGGCTGTTGAAGGAGTGGACCGATACTCCACCTGGTTTAGCTATCAGCAAACAGCCACTAGTAATGGTGGATCGGTTCACTTACTTTGGTAGCTGTGTCACGTCGAGTGATCACATCACTGAGGAAGTTATTTCGAGCATTAGAAAGGCACGTGAGGCATACCTGAGGCCAAATCCCATATGGATATGGCAGGATAACAGCTCGACAGTGACAGGAAGACGGCGATAAGACCGGTGCTACTGTACGTATCAAAGATGTGGACAGTACGCTGTGAGGAAATTAAATGTATGGCTGTGTTTGGCCCCCGGTGTTTGCGGAATATTCCCCCCATCTGGTGGGAACACCGGGTAAGCAATGTGTGCCGACTTTGCGGATGGACGCCTAGGGGGTAATCCACGCCAGTGATTGGAGACTCCAACAGACATGACACAGTCGCACAGCCGGTAGCGTACCTGCATTGTGTTTCTTATATCTGGCAGTTAAGATAACATCCCGCATTAATTTTAGGCACTGCTTCCATCACCCCTGTTCATTGTATCCTGCTTGCGTTATACATCATTTTATTATAGCTTTTATCTATTGTCTTTCTGGCAACATGAGTTGCAGCAACCGGATCCACCGCACTTCGGTGTCCGGATCATGGTAATTCTTCTGAACTGAAGTAAACTGTAGCCAACCGTTAGTTGCGGTCACTTTCCTACCTGAAAGTGGAAGACGCGCTCGGTTGTGTACAAGTTTGCCCTTTCATGGAGCAGCAGTCTTTAGGCAAATTCACACAGCGAGCCAATACTGGCTTATCCGAAGCCTCACGACAGTGTTGCTGAGGTAAAATGTTAACAAAACTGAAGTATGCTACATTCGTTCGGTAAAAAAAGTTACGGCAAATCGTGCGGGATGTGGTATTTATTATTAACACTGAGGAATGTTCCGCGGATGCATGTGTACCTAGGGGAGCAGGACGTGAAAGATTATCAAATTACACACTGGATTCATCTTCTATGATTCCACAGCTACTATGGAGTCGGTACGATGAGAGTGTGTAATATGATTGAAAATGAGAAATCCAATGAAGAACAGAGCGAGTCTACATAATCTCGGGCTAAACTCGTGCACAAATACATAAGGTTGTCTCTGTGCGTCGAAAAAGGAAGAAAGGATAATTGATGCTCAAAGCTAGGGGCAGAAACACAGGTACACAAGTGTGCCCATTCCACAGTTTTCGGACAATTAATCACTCGCTGATACATTAAGCCAAACTTCTAGGAAGTTTTGCTTTGACGTAGAATGGATGCAAGGTTCCTGTGAACACAATAAGCAATGCAGATGTTTAAGTGGGTAGGCTAGCCTTTTATTTCAGAGGTAACAAGAGAAAAGCGGAAACTTGGAAAAGAAGATCAGGTGACAGCCCGAAAACAGTGCCCGACGAATCTCTACAGTGATGTTAGAGAGGCGGTAACGATCGTGGTGTCATCGCACTTAGCTGGCTCCAGGCCCCAAATTGGCTAGTCGACCGGACATTCGGATACCAGGGTTCGCTGTTGGGCTCCATAACCCGGTTAAGCGCACAAAAAAGTAATCTGTCCGGGCCCTTCGCGCACCCCAGCCAGAGGTAGCCTCATCCCCAATTTCCACCAAGTTAAGTAAATTCCCGTCATTCGGATGATCCCACAGAACTTAAACACCATCTGTTAAGTTTGTTCTGTAAAAGCCCGAAAAGTAACCCCAAAAATAAGTACATAGCCAAGCTAACTTCTGACTCTGGTGTTTTGCAGGAAGTACAGAAACAATACGTTCAGATTGAGTCAAAGTGGAACACAGCATAAGGTAGAAATGGGCTGCAATACCAAAACTCAGTCTAACAGAATAACAGATAAATGTAAGCGATTGTAAATGGTCAAATAAGAAAAGACTACACGAGTGCGATGGCATGCGAAACTTAAAGCGCTTACCTGAAACAACTTGTCGCAATTCGTTTGCACACTCAGGCTTGGATGAGAAGTAGCGCAGGGCTAGGAGCCACAATTTGTGCATCTCATTGCTGAAAAGAGGAGAGGAGAAGAACACCATCTATCAGATTAGCCGTCATGCCATCAGGAAATCTATGGAAAAGCGATGGGAGGGATATTCACAACGTACCCGAAACGCTCGCAGGTGCCAAGCACTTCTGTTGTGGCATCCAGGCTCATATAATGCCTCAGGAGCTGGTCATACCTAGAAAAGTAAAAAGTGTTGATAGATGGGTTTGGTGGGGAGAGTGATTTTTTGCGTTGCAATTGCAGTTGTTGGTGGTCCATTGTGTTCGTCAAACAATAACCGGAAAACAAATAACTGATGTGGGGCATAGCAAATAATTGGGATTAAGGAGAGTACCAGTGTAGGCAGGTATCCTGGAGGTGCGGGTACGGTAGTAAAGATAAGAGGGTACACAGCGACAGTTAACTTTGCGGCGTTCCGGGAGTAACAATACCATCAACCAAGCCAAACGGTAGACGTACGAAAATCCTGTAACACCAAAAAGTAATTGTCGCTGAGTATTAATCACTACGGGAACTTACAACTTCAGCTGTTCCCATAAATAAATGCACCCGTCGAAAAACTGTCGCCGGTGGCACAGCAGTAGAGCCTTCTTCGGATCGTAAGGTAGCTAAAGGTAGATGGGGAGAGTAGATACCACAGAAGAAATGAACGAAAAGAAATGGTGATGCTCTACAATTTAAAAGTTACGAAAAGTTACATCAGAGAAGGCTGTAAGCATGCTCAAAAGAAACGGTATATGTTATTATTCGCTGCTAATCAGTGTTGAAGAGCAAGTTAGAGAGGCATAAAAACTGCGAAATACTCAGCTATCAAAAGTCGATGGACTACCATGCACGAGACTCAGTTGACAGGGTTGTCTCAACTTGAGGGATGGAGTAATGAAATCAGATGACGTGGAAGCCCACCTGAAGTATTCTTTCTATTAGGATTAAAAAGAAGTTATTGAAAGCGGAGCTGTATGCTATCGGGCACGTCCCAAGGTTACGAATCGTAGAATGCCTTCCTTGTTGTGGTAACTGCGAATAAGTCTCGTTTGCTTTGCAGGCAAGATGGATAAGCAGTCGCGGACAATCAGCGGCAGCGTCTCAAAGCGTGGGGAGTTCTGGGCTGGTCACTTGGTTCACTATCAAATATCGCATGAGGTTGTACGGCGCTGTGTCGAAGCCAATGAGACCGGCCATAGGGTCCCTGACCATACACTTCTGGTCACAGAAGTGAGTAACTGACGGAGGGTGGATGAACATCCTTGCTGGCCACCCGCGTCTTTGTGGACTGCTTCCGAAAACAAAAAAGGCGAATGAGCCAACCGAATGTCGACGGTCTTCGTGAATCATCCCGCTACCGTGCGGGTCAGATCTTTATGACTAACGCTCCTGGTGAGGTCTAGTAAGTCAACACTCTTCCTCGGTCTGGGCAACCGGGAAGACCTCTGCCCACACAACGCATGAACTTCATACACCATGCAAACACTTCAAATGACTACCAGTTTGCCCCCCTTTTTGTTGTTGTTAAACATGTGTGACACTGCCAACTGTATATTGGTCAAGTGAATAAAAATAATAATAATAATAATAATAATAATAATAATAATGAGACTCACCGAGAGCAGGATCATGCTAAGTCGCCGTGGCTAAGACAAGGATCTCCAGAACAAACTGATGGAGGAGAGAACCGGCGAAATAAAGCTAATACTGGACTATTCTGCGCCACATAGCATACAGAGAGAAGCCCCAGCCAAACAGGTATCCCGAGAAGATGAGCCGGAAGATGACAAGTTGGCCAGCGGATTGGTTTATCGGAGCTCAGTGATGAGAATTTCAAAGATGAAGCCGATGGGCGGTTAAGAGTACAATTAAACCGTAAGACATAAGAGCTATTGTGGCAATGCGATAGCCACAAACAGATATGTCACGACAATGTACGCGAGTTATGAGGGGAAGAGTGTAGATGGTGGATAAGCCTAATTCCATGGCAATCTTCCTGGAAACATGAAACATCTACAGGTAGGGTACCGAGCATCGGCGCCAAAGGTAACGCGGATGTGGCCAGGTTTGCAAAATACCAACGCGAATCCATGATGGAATGAATGAGTGTCAGAGTGCAAGTTCTGCGACAAGTGGCTCAACAGCGTATGAAAATTACCTGATTATTTCGGAGAAGGCTGACTACAAGGGTAGATAGTCGGGCACGTGAGGCAGCATGTTTCGATGAGGTCTCCTTTCTCAAGTTGCTCAGTTCATAAAGAACAAGTTCCAACAGTGCATCCACGACACCAGACACCTTGATGGAAGGAGATGCAGCCTGTTGAGAAAGAGGTGGACGGGCTACAATGAGGTCCAGATGAATGTTGCATAGGCATCGACTAGAATGAAAACTCACATTGACGTAGTGTTCAAGAAACTGCATCAAACAATCGCGATGATTGATGAAAATTTGCAGGAAGTGGTGCACATTAATTCGGCAAGCGTCTACAATGGGAAATTGACACTCGGAAAACATAACAAATCACAGATTTGTAGTGGGGATACATAATGGGTGGAGGTAGACACAAGGAGACAACTTGTGAACCTAATGAATAGTCCGTGCCGATCCCTGAATACCTGGCTGTGAGCAAAGTCGATCCAGTACTTCCAAAGTTTCTTTTGGCATGCAACCAATCAGTAAATGGCCGTATGTGCACATAGCCTTCAGTGACTGAAAAAAATGTGGATACAAACACAAATGAGCGGGAGTGGGAATAATGATGTCGCAAAGAGCGGCAAAGCAATCGCGACGAGACAACCTCGCCGAAAAAAATTATCGCGAAGTGGTAACCAAAGCGCAATTGTCAGATAGCGAAGTATCAGTGTAATAAGGCTGTGGAGAGGTAAAAAGGAACGCCAGAATGAATTTACCGAACAACCCTGTGTGCATCAAACACATCCCGGTTGCGGCTGACAAAAATGGTTCACCGAAAGTTTCATAAGAAGTGCGTGAGATGGGACAATGTAAGCCTTCAACGGACCCGCACCGCTAGTGCGCATGCAAAACTAAAGGTAAAAATGACGATGTGAGAACGGTTATTAACACACTTCTTTCCAGGACAGAGTAAAGAGATGTGTGTCATGAGAAAAGTTATCGAAAGGAAGGGAGTAAAACCTTCCTAGGTAGATGGAAGACGACAACTACCAGAAGTGAAGCAGTTCTTTCTTTGTTGTAGAACAGAACATCCTTGAATTTTTGTAGCCAGCCACACCATAAGTTTTGTGAAGTAAAAGACAGAGATGTTATACGAGACCTGTGCAGAAAGTTAAAGTGAAATTTATGAAAGCACTACCTTTAGCCTATGACACAACAGTCTGAAACACAAGGCAGTGGGGAGCGTTTCATTCGGGAGTCTGATTGCAGAGACCAACTGCGTTAGCTTGAGGTCTGTCACACACAGAATTTGAAGATCTGGAACGATTCACATGTGTTATTAGATGGTATTATGCTGGGCGCACACGACCACGGACAGCCGCAGGCGGGAGTTAATGAGTTCATACCAATTTGATCATTGGCTGCCTGGATTGAGGCGGGGGTTAGCACCAGAAGGCGCCCAACCACTGTCAGAAACAATGCGTGGTGCTGGTGCTCTATACCAATCGAGTTGTGAGATCATAACACGTAAATCCGTTGTCTCCCATGGCTAAGGGTAGAGAGCCATCGACCTCTCCCTAACCTCTGAAGAGGATTGGATTGTGAGAATGAGTTAGTCTGACTCCGAACCATTGACCTGTCTGGTATGAGTAACTCTGAAGGCACTTGGGAAATGCCACACAACGTAGCTCACTGGGTGACAGATGTACACAAACCGTCAACAAGCTAAAATCCAATTTCGTCGTGTTAACTGTAGGTGAGAATTGCCTCAGCTACAGTGCCGCAGGGCTAAAAGGCGAACTAACTACTGGTGATCCAGCAACGAGATTTTGCATCTTGAGGGCACAAAACGCCTGTCAAATGACAGGAATACTCATCCATTGACGACACCGTCTCACGATTGCCAAGCAACGAAAAGATGCAGTCCTCATAACCCAGATCAACCAGATTCCCACAAGGAGCAGTATCCGTGCTTGTATTGGAAGATTGCACAATTAGATAAGCCTGATAAGCTACCTAATGGGAAACTGTCAGGTAATTCGCAATGGAATCTGACGCGACTTTTGTTCCAGCACAAAGTGCCCAAAAGTTGATGTAATTCGTGAAAGCCCAGTTGTGACTAAGCAAATCAAACAGGATGTAGCAGTGGACTTGTGATAAGTACTAAAGCCTTAATAGCAACACAGCGGAATTGCATTCGCTGGTTCACCGAAAGAGCAGTGAAGCATACGACGACTCCATAGTTGGCCTGGTTCTGCAAATGTAACAAGACAAAGTAGGCCGACATGCCATATATATATATATATATATATATATATATATATATATATTGAAATATCAAACTCCACCGTGTCGTAGAAGCAGAAGCCACATGACAATTTCCACCGTACCACATGAACCCAGGTACAAAGCAGTAAAGTTTCTAATACGCCCACTAGACAAGACGCAAACTTGTAGTTTGAACCAAGACAAGAGGTAGCTTGAACTCGGAATCCTAGCTCACAATGCTGAGGTCACGAGTTCAACCCACATCGACGAGTAAAAATCCAATAGCACATTCATCACCGTAAGGCACTTCAGGAACATCTCATCCAACCGAAACAACCAATGTCATAAAGTGAACAGATTGCGTCGTAGCAAAAGCATACAACACAAAGCCTTCTAGCTTATGTTGAATAACCAAAGGTAGAGGTTGATCTAAAGCACACGTGAGGAGAAATCGTGCGCTGGATCAAAATATCGATAAGCTGGAAATAAACTGACAAATGATGCGTGCATAGGGAGTGGTAGAATAAGGAAGAGAAAAACTGCAGTCTCCTAATAAAGGCATGCACGCTGATAGCAGAAAACCCCATTTACAGCATATCTGACAGTTCAAGCAGTAAAGGCTTAACTTGGAAGAGGTTTATGAAAGAATGACCAAACGCACTACCTCATCGAACGGGAGCTGCGCAATGCGTTTAAGAGCTTGTGAAGGCTCGTGCATATCTTCAATTGAAATACCAATCTCTTCGGTGAGACGAGTCGTCCGTCGAGCCAACTGAAGTGCAGCAGCCGGGAATCCTGTTTCACGTAAGACACGGATTGCGGCGGGAACGTTAAGCCGATGATCAAAAGATTGCTAAGAAAGAAGAAAGGAACGTTTGAACGTGAGGAGCTGAATGATGGGCAGTCGATTTAGATGCGTACCAAGGAACTGACGAATTCAGCATGCCAATGATGCAAGGAAGATAGCTTAGAAGCCCAGACAAGGCCAACTATAAAGAGGACAAAGTAACATCAAGGGGAAGCGCATATAGCGAAACATACGCCCTTGTTACCTGTGATACTCTATAAGAAATGAGATGACAAGGAACATAAAGCGAGTACTTCTCGACACCACAAAGTAATGACGGCCGTCAGTAAACGATAAGCTGAAATCATACCGCTTCGGTTGTCAAGACACGTCACAAAGTATGCCAATCTACTGGGTTGTAGGTAAGCTAAATATGATACAAGTGTATCGAGTGTCTCGATATCAGAGAAGAGCTGACACTTCAAGATTCAGAAGAAAGATGGATTTTCCAACGTTTTTTTCGAAACATCGTGTCATCATGATCAATACGTAATAGCCCAGGGTGAGAGACACACCTCAGCTAATGTGTCGCAATACAAAGAAATAAGACATTAGGCAATGTGGACTCAAAAGCTAGGAAAAGTAACATAATGCTAATAAAATATTTTTGATGGTTGTTGGAGGGGGAAGCTAAAGGGAAGGGGAGGAATAAAGAGACTCACAACATACACCTTAAACAGGCAGTCGGACTAGGAGACGACAGTACACACGCCAGTGGTGTCTACTGCGAGTCATGTGCTGTAACGTCTTGAGCAAAGCCCAAGGCAGGTCACATGGACTCCAGCCTGGAAGACGAGATGGACCGACGGCACCAAGTTTGATAGTTAGTGACTTCATTTCCCGCTACCAAGTCAAGTTTTGCCCACGTTGGGCCTTGAGCTACCCTACATTTGGCAAACAAGACCCTCCTCGGTAAGCGATGACCGGGCATCCGTAGCAGGTGTCCAAGCCAATGTAACTTATTCAGCGCCATGTGTTGTTCTAAGGAAATTGCCTGATCATCACTGTCTAGCACTCGTCAACGCACATCATCATTGCGCAATGGGTTGAAGAGGTACGCGAACCGTCGCAGCACGTTAAAACTTAGTCTCGTTGCGAGGGGATCGAACTGATAATCGGCTGTATGCACCATTTAGTGAATGTTGACAATAGTATTGTGGTAGACACTGAACTGACTAAAGCCTTCTAGTTGAAGGATATAGTTTACTTGTATGGTGATCCTAATTACATACTTCAACATATTGAGTCCTGTGCCTCACATACAGATTGAAATCGTGCCGAGTTTTACGACCCAGTGTCTTCAATTTAGCGCTTCAATTTCCATAAGTGCCAAATGAGCTGCTCAGAAGAGTAAGCGGATACTCGTACGTAGACAGGAGCGATTATCAGAGAGGTGAGCAAAACACCATATCAAATGAATACTGTTGGAGCAGCGCAATAACTACCGATGTGCTGAGAGAAGGTACCATGCTCTCTGAATGTGTGAAGCATACACTGGAGAGCGTAGTTGTGTGAATCAGGTTATTGACAAGTGCCCGTACACGGGCTGGAACAACACGAGGCGAAGTACACCTTCAGAAGACCAAGGATAAATCAAATAGACAAGAACCGTGGAAAACATAAGCATCCTCACCCATCATATGTAGGGGAAGCTCAGACCGCAGATATGGTATAGGAAAGCGCCAATAAGAGGAATAACAATACCTATGTGATCTCCGAAGACGCGGTGACACAAGTGTATACGGTGAGATGAATGAAGGGTAAGTGTCAAATCCAAACAGATGAGACCCGCAAGCAATCTGTACATCGAGAGGTTATAAAACGTGGTCGAAAGCATAATCACCTCAATGCAGGATGCACTGAGATGCATGGAATATAAGCGAATCAAACATCCACAACCAGCGACGCGAAAATGATGCAGAGCATTTCCTCGGAGGAAAAGAGAATGTGATTGTTGCCGAGACGATAACCGCGAGATCCTTAGGCTTTGCTAAAGACCGCGGTGGCTCTTCACATACGCTAATCGGAAAGTACTTCCATAACATAGCTCAGAGTTGCGAAATAAACTACAACAGATGCATGGCAGTTCGTTCGCAATCGCGAAGTTCGTCCGATCCCAAAGCAATCTATACACCAAACAACGGTAACTCACGGCGGAACATCTCACGAACAGATCACAAACAACTAAAGGGGGTGCAGGTGGATGGAGAAGAAAGTGAGCCTCGTAAGACAGTTGATATGCTTGCAAGTGGAGAGTGATGTGCCAAATGTAGGCCGTAACCGCGCTTCGCTGCGCGCGATCACCACGTCGCCCGTGGGCTGAGTGTACCGCGAGGACGCCTACCACTACGCGGATTCGAATCGGTGACCTTATGATTGCAAGTCAGGCGTGCAGACCACTCGGCAACGGTCCTATGCAGACCATTTGGCCACCGACCGATGCTTGCGAGTGGACTAAATGTTTTTCAAACGCTGCTTCGAAAACTGAGACCTCGGTTGGACCTGTGTGATATGAGTGCATGGGAGTAGCATGCATCAGCCGTTCACAGTGACACGACACCCCCATCTCCCCGGGCTTCGCCGTTCTCGGATCCGTACACAGTAGTCGTTTCAGACACTTGTAAACTTTCCGAAGTTAGTTATTCGTCTGAGGATCATTTTGAAGCGCTCGTTGGGTGGTTAGATTCTGACGTGCAATCTCAGTGTGGATTGAGATTACTAGTGAAGTGAATCTTGGCCAATTCGATCACAGGGACCGTAACTGATGAAACAGTATGATGAAACTAGTCGACCAAGCTTTAGCAAGCGAGCAGTTACGATGACTTCTCCAAGGTGCGTCAGAGCAGGCTCCAAAAGAGAACTGGCTCATGCACTTCGTTCGCACGTGACAGCTGATGTTCAACTTATAAGCGCATGGTGGATTCTGAGCATAGATGAGATATAAACTCCTGAAGGAAGATTGTGTGCAACACGAGGTGGTCATGTTCAAGATGGTTGAGCATACAAACAAATGAGACAGAAGACGCGCATGTCACATAATGAGAAGAGCTGTCATATGTACCCGATGTTCACATGGGATTAATTTCAAGGAGTAAAAACTGAACTTGTTCTTGTGGTGTTCGTTCCCTCAAATCCTATCAGGATGGATACTTGTCGCGTCATGCTTCCCATATGCACCACTCCGTCTGAGTGTACCCCGTTTCCCATATGAATCACCTTGACATTATTTTCGCCCTACTTCTGCTTGTCCTTGTCTGTTCACACCCCCTTAATTTGACCCGAGTTCTACGCGTTACAAAATCCAGTGATGAATCATCAGGTTTACCTCAGGTTTTGTTGTTACCTCTGGCTTTCCCAGTTGGGGTCCACGGGACCAGTCTTATACTTGAAAACAACCATTAAAGGAACACAGCCAGCAAACTACGCCATTGGTGTTTTTAGTTAGGTTCCTTATCTGGATGGCCTACCTAAAATGTGTAGAAGGCTGAACTATCTTAGGTAGCTGGGTTGATCAAGAAGCGGAGAAATGAAAATTGCAAGCCTGCGGATGTTATATTCCCTTCACCAGATATTCAGCTGTTTGCGGCCGTTCGGTGTTGGTGAGTAGGTGCTTTAATCCCGAATATTTGCTTAGGGTACTTACATTTGTATTACTAATGATTTGATTTTAGGCATCTCACCCCAATTCTTACTGATCATTCGGTGTTACTATGGCTGTATGACAGTAAGACATCGGAAGGGGGATATTAGTATGTCGTTGGTGGTGTGCATTTTTCGCGAGAGCAGCAGACTGAGGGGACGAAGTGTCTTGTGTAGACAGCAGGATGCCTAACTTAGAGTGCGTCGTAGCAAGGCAATAAGCTAAAGTTATGATCTCACACAGTAGAAAACAAGGTCTACCGAAATAAACTTAAAAATCGAGAATTGCTATTTTTCCAGGCTGAGATCGAAGAGAGGATGTGAGCAAAATATTCTAGAACGGTGCGGAAGTGGATGAGTCGGAGCCTGTGTCTCCCCCAATCAGTGGCCTGTTTGGTATGGGCGAATCAGAGGCACAAAGACCATTACAACACGTACAGCTCCGTTCTCAACACGGCCATGTATAACCGGGGATACAGTGTTTCGATTAGATCTTGTTATTTTGTTGTTACTATGAAGACCAATAAATTATAAGATTAAATTATTATTGTGTCGGAAGTACGTTCGTTACACGCCGGTTAAGTTATCATTTAGATATGAACAAGTGGGAGATCAGATATCTACCATGAGTTAAGAGCAAAATTGTGTGGAACAGAAATACAACGTGAAAACGGTTAACCTAATACGAGTCACACTGCAAACTTACAAGCACAAAACGATCAATACGGTCGTTGTCCTGGAGTCGGGCATAGCAGTTGAGTAGTAAAATAAGATGATCACTTGAAACCAGCTCCGATTTGCTCAACGCTTCAAGATACCGGGCCAGCTGGACGATGTGACCACCTTCCAGAAACTACCAAAAGAGAAGTGTTGCAAGCCAGTACACGAAGCATCCAAACAAATAAACGGCATTTTTCGCCTATTCACAGGACATAGTTATAAAACAGGACAGAAACATGGAACAAAGTGACCGAACACTGGCAAGAAAGAGGAAACGAAGCGCGAAAGGTGGGCAGACTTTAGTCAGTCATATTTAATTAAATCGACAAAGAGTGGGTACTGATACGCAGGGATACAAAACAGCCGAGATATTCATAGAACCACGAAAATTGTGAGGAAACACCTGATTGAGGACAAGCAGGAGAGTTAGTTACTCAGCGTCCATTGAAACTAAAGTAAGAAACGAAGTATGGTGTTTTGTTTGATAGAAAAATGATGCGACTGTGCAGATACCATATTGATGATTAACCTGACCAATAAAAATGTGCGCTGGGAATATGACTGGCGGTTATACAACTATCGTGTATAAACAATTCATAAGAAAATGGGAAAGAGTGGATGGCGGGTTACCAAAAGGAATATAAGCGAGTAGACATAGTGCGTACGAAAGTGGTAAAAATACTAGCTACTGTTTACTACACCGCTAGCTTGGTCAATGGCCAAGTGGCTAGGGGGTCTGTGTTATAGTTCACAAGTCGCCGGTTCGAGTCTGCTATGTGAGACAGGTATCGCTAGCCCGCAGGCAACGTTGGTACGAGCAATGGCGCATTGCTGATGACAACAGACAGTCAACCTTTTAATTCAGAATGAACTCGATTTCAGGGAATGAACCGTAAAAAGTGCACACTGAAGGAGAAAACAACAAACCCATTGCTTGGAATAGTACATAGTCTAGTACAACTTTCGAACCCAGAAGTGGATGGGAACCACCATAGCCCTCAATGTAAGTGTGCTGTAACCGCTAGGGTAGATGGTTTAACAAAGAATCACCTGGCCACCGATGAGAGTTTAAGGCTATGGATGTCGAAAATTAATAAACATTCTTAGGCTTTTCCTTACTCATTAGACCATCTCAACTGTCAATCTTCACCAACGGATTCACCTGCAGAGAGATGCATCAGGCGACATACCAACAGCTGTTGATCGAAGTACAACCGCGGTAAAAATACAATATGCTACGACAGGGCTCCCAATTGAAGTAGCAAAGAGGAGAAAAGCATACTTGTACAATTCAGATCCTATGCGACTACCATAAGCGTGACGTGAGATAAGGTAGTTGGTGGCACGAGTCGAAGTTGGTGATAATAACGATGAATATGTGAGCAAAAACGCAGGAAAACGCCATGAAACATGAACGGTTGGCACTGAGCTGTCGTTTTCGTGGATGATGCTAAGGGGACACTAGTCAAGGAAAATCGGCCATGGGAGTAAGAGCAAAGCCCAGGTTAATGAAGGAACAACGCAGTTAGGCCTGGCCGCTGAGTCACAATTAGGCTTAACAAAAACTGTGCGATAGTGGGGCTGTTGGATTCTATGAGCCAATTGAGTAGCGACGTCAGTGCTAGGGCAATTTGATCAGTGCAATATGTTCGATCGCAGGCATGGAAAATCAAGTGATCAGCAAATGCGATAAGATGGATGCATACCAATGAGAGAACGACATGCGGATAGAATCAAAGCTGGAAGAGTAAATTATATGAGGAACAAAGAAAAAGTTCTGGCCTGTTACACGACCCCAAACGCGTACGACCCCGTTGTCCATGTAATCCACTGAAGCGGCCTCAGATAGACTAGTGAGCACAAGTGCTGGGCTGCATGTAAGACAAATTGGATCCTAATGCTTTATAACAAGGATCACGTTGATACAAAACGAAGTCAACTTGGGCGTATATAAAGCTTAATGAAGAGGCGTCTAGTGTTAGACAAAGTCAAATCAGTAGAGTGCTCAGTGAATCAACCGGTTTGGCGAGCTTACCCGCTGGATAACGAATGACGCCTCAAGAAATCCAATTGTCTTCGTGTACATTTGAATCGCTGAGTCGTAATCTTTTTGCCTATGGTAGGGAAAACAAAGGCAAATGCGAGAACCTATGATTGTAAAACGTGTGTAATGCGAGAAGTTGACTGGAAAGATGGGAACCCAAATAAATTGATCAATCGACTTTTAGAGAAAACTTCCAGTGAAATATGGAACCTATTCGATAACCACCACATTAGTAAGTCAAATCAACAGAAGCGATAAAATTCCAGACAGCCCCAGGTTTCAATCGCAGATTCGCCACTTACGTGATCAGTTGACGAATGAGGTGGGTGTCCCCCACAGGTAAGCTGTACGATTATGATCGAGGACGACCGTTTCCAGTTTGCTTGCCACTACGACTACGAACCGTGACTACCAGTAGTGATTAGTGTTGAAACGTCTATATATCCATCCACAGCCTAGAAACGAAAGCAGATCCGTGGAAACAAGGCTGTGGAGGATGGTGTTGCTGGGATGACCCACACTCTCTAAGCGCAAACATTCATGCAATAAGAGTAGGGGGGAAATGCGACGAGTAGGCAGCAGCCAACTGAATGATGGAGCAACATGTAAGGTCGAGAACTGGCACGAAGAATACACAATACTTGCCCTTTACCGGATCCGATAACCAAAGTAGTGACATTCAACTGATGAGTAGTTTGTTAATATTCGTAGAAAGCATAGTTAGATCCGTCATATTGCTCGGGGACAAATATCCAGCATATGCTATTTGCAAATGTTCAGACTAGGCCAAAGCGCAAAGAGCCCCATTACAAGTCCTGTCAGCGACGACACTGGCACAACGATCGGAACAGCGCCGGGATCGGATATGCAGATTATGGAATAAAATCTTTCGCGGCCTTGCTATGCACTGGCCTAAATCCAGCAAAACCTCCAAAGTTACCAATTTTTATAGCTTGAACGGTCACTGTGTAAACTCGATGGAACCAGACCTCTATATATTTGACCATCTCTGTAAGTTGTATGTTGACCACTTGGGCTATGACAGTCAGTTATAATTTAACTTCCATATCTTAACCATCTGAGGGCTTATCGTCTAAGGGTTCTTGAATTACTCGTTCGTTCAGATAACATGGTGTGCAGCGGGAGTGTAATCAGTGAACTTAACGTTTGAGGATACAGCGTGTATGTGTGTGTTTTCCAGGTCCTCAGTGTTTACGCGCGTGTGCATTACCTAGATCAATGTGGGTCCCCACAGATCCGCACCCACGATATGACCTAGCTGGTTGTTCGGAAAGTAGTTTCATCTTTTTCCAACAAAAGGTTTGATTGTATTTTTTCACAGTCAACTATGCACCCAACCCGCAATTTTTTATATTTTGTCAGTTGATATAGAAGGGCTTGCTTATGAAAAGTTCGACTGATTCCCCGCAGTAGTTTTTGTGTGCCGCAATTTCAAATATGGAGAGTGAAAAGCATCACTCACGCATACTTCACTTTTTAACTATCAAATTGTTCAAAAAAGAAAAAAAAATCGGATGCGTATGAATCAGATGTACTGACAGAACACCAGTGCCAAAACTGGTCTGCAAAATATCGATCTAGTAATTTGATGTTGAAGATCCACCACGTTCTGGAAGAAAAGCTGAAGCTGATGAAGGCACAGTGAAGCCACTAATTGATATAAACCAGCGAATAACAACTCGCGAGATCGCGGAGAGATTAAATTTATCGAACTCGACTGCTCATCGTCACCTGAAACGCGTAGATTTACTTCCAAAGCTCAACATATGGGTTCCTAATGTTCTTACTAAAAGAAATTTGTGTCTTCGCGTCAACGTCTGCGACTTACATTCAAACGGCAAGAAAATGACAAGCTTTTGAAGTGCTCATGCGATGGGGTTGAGAAATGGGTTGTCAATAATAACGCGAGAGATCGTGGATTAAAAAAGTTGAACCGTCTCAAAGCACTTCCAAAATTGATATCCGTCAAAAAGACGATGACATCTGTGTGGTGGGATTTCAAAGGAATTGTTTATTCTGAGCTTCTGCCGGAGAAAACAACGATCCAGATGGATTCGAAAAGGCCATAGTACACGTTGCACGAGCGCAGATGGCATCTGAGAAGAGTTATAGTCAGATTGAGAAAGAACCGTTGGCTATTAACTTTGCCGTGCAGAAGTTCAATAATATGGTATATGGTCCACGGTTCACGTGGGTGACTCATCACAAACCGCTTCTGGCAACTATTGGATCCGAAAAGCGCATCCCGGCATTTACGGCCGGTCGACTTCAACGAGTAACCCTGCTCTTGGAATATGATTTCAAGCGCACAACTGACAGCTCAGAATGCATCCGGAGAACCGCTGAGATTGGATGGAGAGATTGAATGTGAGGTCAGCTTCAAGAAACTGCAACTCCGTAGCGCGATCTACCTAATCTCATGCACCGAATCGATTGGATTGAGAAGCTGAATTTGCTCAATGTACCAATGAGTCGTGTCTGTGCTGAAAGGAATGTCACGGTGCACCATACAGCCATACCGACTCCTCCGGGTCAAAGCATCTCTGAACAGCTTCAAAAGAAGTATGCATGTGTCTTCCAGTCGGAACTTGGACACTGTAAGAAAATGCAGGCAAAACTTACTCTGCATCCGGATGCCAGACCAGCGTTTCGACCCAGGAGTCCTGCCCCGTATGCGTCCCAAGCAATTGTTGAACAGGAGCTTGATAGATGGCAGCAGGCCGGAGTGATGGAGCGAGTCAATTTCTCACTGTGGGCTGCGCCTATTGCTGTGATCAGGAAACAGAACGGTTCTATTCGTTTGTGTGCAGATTTTTCAACGGGCCTGAATGCTGCACTGGAACCCCATCAATATCCGCTTCCACTCCCTGTGGAGGTGTTCGCAAAGCTGAACGGAGGCAAGTATTTTGCTACTCTTGATCTTGCAGATGCCTATTTCCAATTAGAAGTTGAACCCGAAAGCAGAAAGCTTCTAACCATCAACACGTATCGCGGTCCCCACCAGTACAACCGTTTGACATTTGGAGTGAAAACGGCACCGGCAATTTTTCAGCAAGTCATGGATGCTATGTTGACGGGTGTAACTGGAGCGGTAGCCTACCTGGATGACATCATCATAATGGGCTCGACGCAAGAGGAATTATTTCAACGATTGAATGTCGTGCTGCAGAGTATAAAAGATTGTAGCTTCCGATTACGAGCGGACAAGTGCAGATTTTTCCTGAAGTCAAATAAGTTCCTGGGTTTCATGATTAACGAGAAGGGTCGACGACCCGATCCCAAAAATATCGAGTTGATAGACCGGTTACCGGCGCCATTGGATGTCACAACCTTACAGTCAATACTTGGGATGGTGAGTCACTATAGTGAATTTCTACTATGCATGCATCGCTTGCGTCATACTCTAAACCATCTGCTGATGAAAGATGCTGAATGGAAATGGTATGCACAGTGTCAACAGTCAATCGATCAACTGAAATCTCTGCTGACGTCGGACTTATTGCTTACGCACTATAATCCGAAGGTGGAAATTATCGTGGCCAAGGAAGATTCAAGCTATGGAATTGGTGCTGTCATTTTACATCGTTTTCCAGATAGAACCGAAAAGGTAAGAGTGCTGACGGCATCCGAGAAGAGTTATAGTCAGATTGAGAAAGAAGCGTTGGCTAGCATCTGCCGTGCAGTAAGATAGTATATGGTCGACGGTTCACGTTGGTGACTCATCGCAAATTGGCAGGACGTAAACTGTGACCCATTATCCGACACGATTGTTACTAGCAGTCTGTGCTGACTGGAAATATGTCTCATCGCAAAAAGTGTGCTGTTTGCTGACGTGTTTTTGCATTGCGATTAGATCCGGCCACTTACTGTAGGCGTCAACAATAACGAGGAAATACACTCCTTCGACGGGTGAAATCCATATGTATCCGCGACCAGGGCGATTCTGGGTCTGGCCAAGAGTGTAATGTCGCATGTACCGGTAACTTGGAGGCACTGATGCATCCAGGGCACGATCGGCCAATCTTTTCAATGTGGCTATGCAACATCGGCCAAAAACGTAGGTGCGCGCAAGCGCCTTCATGCGAGCGATTCCTGGATAGCCCTTGTGCAGTTGCCGTAACACGCGTGATCTGAGTATTTCTGGAATAATAATGCAATCTGCAAAAAACAGGCAGGAATCAACTTCAGACAAAGAGTTGCGTCGTGTGAAAAACTGAGTCAAAGCTTCTTTCGGACACTTCTTTGGCCAGCCCCGTCTTGTGTAGGTTAATACCTCTTGCAGCAATGCATCCTGTTCAGTGGCTTGCTTAACCATCGTGCCACTGACCGGTAAATTACTCATGGCGTCATGCACCATGTAGTTGACATCCGTTTGGCCTGCGATGGAGGCAATAACTGCGTCTTCCGACTCACGACTACCGGTATTGATTAATCTGGATAGTGCGCCTGCTTGCCCTATATTAGGAAAATAGCTATTAGACATTCATTTTTTGGGAACGAGCTTAAAAGCCATCTTTATGCTTCCTATTTGCTGTTTCTTGACTGTTGTTTAAACGCCGCACTGTATTAGTCCGATTGGTACCCACACGTCATTGTTAGTGGACGCTCAGCTCCGTGTCCTTTTCAGCAGTGCCATTTGCAAGAACACATTCCATTGGTTTTTCCGCATCACTATTCTATTTAGTTATGTTAAAGGAATATTTGGTTGTCACACGATTTTTGTACTAGTTTTTAATGTTCGAGTCTGCACTTCTTACTCTCGTTTGTTTTGTGACATTTGCTTAAACCCTACATTTCGTTATTCTGATTGGCCAGTGCCCATCACTGTAAATGGATGTTCGCCTTACGCTTAGGGTCCGATGATGCCATATGCGATTCGCTCTTGAGTACACGGTTGCTTATTCGCCGTTGCATTTGACGTTCTCCTTCTGTTGGTTGACACAAGTGTAATTTAGTAGTTTTCCTTCATTTAGCCTTCAAGACTATATAAACAAATGTGATTCCATGTATACAAGCCTCTTTCTGGCTCGTCTTTGGATTTCTTTTTGCGGTCGTGGGGTGAAGTTGTCAGTGGCGACACTACAGGATTGTGGCGAGATTGACGTTTCTGACCACATTTAGTTGAGCGTTTATCCGGCTCTATTTAGTGTCGGCCTGAGGATGAAACCAATTGAGATTAGTTATTGTGGGTAATTAAGGTTACGGATACAGAACCGTAGACTTTGGATTCACTGTGCGCTCTGAATTATTTAAGATTGGCCAGTACGAGTAAATCAACATGTCTAAAAGAAAAGACCTCAGAGTTGATTTTGGATACAAAGTTTAGTGTGTGACATTTTATGGAAAGCAGTAGCCAAAGAAAGACTGTAGAGCATTTTCGTGATAGCAATACAACAGTTAACCACATTCGAAGACATAAACACGAGTATTTGGAGTGATACGATAATGAAAGAGGAGGTCTACCGCGGAAGAGGCGAAAAACCGCAAGATGAAGTCAATGAGGCTACGCTGAGCTGGTTCAAGCAATTGAGGGCAGCCAACGCTTGAATTTCTGCACTGATGATACAAGAAAATGCTAAAAGTTTCTCACAAGAATTTAGGGCATCCAGATTTCCAAGCATCCAACGGTTGGCTAGAGAAATTTAAACTCCGACATGGAACTTCCCGAAGTTTTCTGTGATGAATCTATTAAGGGGCCTGAAGAGTGCGTTCAAGACTTCAAGAAAAATGTTTCCAACTTTAGCAATGGCTTCAACAAGGACGACATTTGTAACGCTAACGACTGCGGTCACTCTTCAAGGCGATGTCTAACTGAAGCCTTGTTGTAAAGGGTGACCAATTAATAGTGGAAAAGATTCCAAAGAACGTTTCAGTTTTGTTGTGTGCTAGCTCAAATGGGGAGAAGCTAAGGCCCCTGGTCATTGGGAAATCAGCTAGACCACGTACGTTCGAAAACCTGAAAGCCTTCTAGTCACCTGGAGATCAAGCCGATCTGCGTGGATTACTACTGCCATATTTGAGGAGTGGATCAGAAGTATCGATAAACAACTGATAAAGAAAAAACGCTTCATTATCCTAACAGTGAACAAATGTCCTAGTCACGCTCTGTAACGGATTTGCGCAGCCCTGGTCGCGTTAGCTTAGTCGAGAGTTATCCGCAACCGGAGAACGGACTATATGCACCTGCGCATTCGGGTGACACGCTAAGTCCTCGTAAACAGACAACGACACGCACACAACCGGAGGACCTTAGACGCGCTAGTTAGACGCTCATGAAACGCACGGCTAGAGCTGCGCACACGACCATGTGACCACGCGATGCCCAACCACCCGCAGGTAGACAACAGAAGGACGAGCTGGCCACTGAGACCTTTTTTACGACCCACAAAGGCCGAATCACAATTGGAACAATGCTTCATTTTGTGGATGAAATGAACCACCACGTAGGGCTGGTGGTTTGTGAAAAAACATTGTCCAGTTTAGCTCAGTTGTGCTCCAACTCCGAGTGGCTGGATCCTGTTACGATGTGGGCAGGAATCGAACTCTGCGTCTCGCAGCCCACGCACTGGAGTTCGTGGCGCATTTTTGCGGGGTTATTTGACGTGCCCGCAACACACCCATGTAAAAAATTTCAGAAATATCAAACTTGTCTGCCTCCAAACATGACCTCACAAATTTAACCTCTGGACCAAGGGATTAGCAAAATAGTCAAAATGCACTACCAAGTCCAGCCCATGTAATGGGCTAGGGCAAATTTAAGAATTAACGATTCACATGCGGAAGGAACTTCATCTGTTGCTACAGTTAATGCCTTGTATGCTGTGTTTTGGATAAGTTCAGCTGGGTTCAAAATTCAAACGGAAATAATAAAAGTGTTTCAGAAAATCCGGAATTGTTCACTCTCTCGTTGCCTTATTAGACATTCCACCTCCATTGGTGGACTTGGACGAAATATATTGTAAACAGTTTGCTGAAGTGGAGGATGACTCGGTAAGTTACATTGTACCAGACCCAGGTGCTATGATCCAAGTGACACTGACTGCGATACGGCCCTACGGAAACAAAGAACAAACGCCTGATGATGCTGATTAAAAGAACTGATGACGATGACTTGGAGATCACAGAAACCTCAAAAGAAGATGAAACCAAAGATCATTTAATGCAACCGAAATCATTTGCCGTGGAAAAAAGCCAAAGCACACTGAGTGGTCTGGCTTATGCTGAGAGCGCTTTTTTCATTTACCTTTGCGAGAAGAGTAGAAAACAAAGATTGACTTTTCTTAAAAAATGATTTAACTTGCGTAATGCACACTGAGTTTTTATTTATTATAAAACCGTATGGTTGAACTGCATTTGCTGTTACGTGAGACCTCGCCTAATGTTTTCGAAACGAGTTTATGTGACAATAAATTTTATACTGTGCTACTCACAAAGTGAAAGTAAGTTACGCTAAGTTTTGATAGAGAACCTACGATGACCACCTCTCTGTGTTTATCACATTGGCCCAGTCCCTTGAGTGGTCAACTTATGGAGGTTTTTATTGTAGCTGAAAGAAAACCTCTCTGGGGACAAAAATCAGCGAGTCGGGAAGCGTGAGAAAATGAACGGGTAGGATGGCGGCACAATTATCCAAAGTATGAACTCAAACCATAAAGACGCGAATTTGTAAAAAAAAATACAAGAAGTGCAAGTGTACCAAATGAACCTAGAGGATGAATTCGGTTCATAGATAACACAAAAAGTAACAGGAACAACAGGTCCGGCTAGCAACGAGATAGTAAATACCTCCAACCCTACAACCAACTGATGCCGTATGTCAGGCATCGAATTAGTCCTACTGGGTCAATAAGGGCGCATAAGTGGGCGAGATTCATCCGACAGGAATCAGCCAGTCTGCGCAAAGAACCAATGGGCATTCATTGACATTGCATGATGTCACAGACATCTCCCGACGGTTCTACGGTCTACATAGGGCGCAACAGGCAACCGGAGTGGAGTCTTCTATAGACAGCGAGTCCCACCCCTAACAGCCTCAGTGGCACGATTGGTACGGCGGAGGGCGTTCGCGCGTATACTGATCCAAGTGGATGAGCTTCCGCCATTGCACATAGCTCCGCTTCTGACTCAGTGGGTGATAGGGCCTCGGTGATTCACGTGCCGTAGCCTGTAGTTGCCGAAGTACGATGGAAGGTACGTGATATCTCTTCATATATGAGGTGGGTAAATTGTGAGGCCATTTCTCCGACAGTGCATCAACGGCAAAATAGTAAAAATTAGATGATAATGCACTGATGAAGGTTGAAGAAAGTAAGTGAAACAGGTGACAGATCCGGACAATGATTGCATGACAGGAAAGCAACAGAGAGCATTAAAAATAAGCTATGTTTTGAATCAGAGTAGTCCATACATTGAAAGCGACTACAATCAGAGAAAAAGAAGTGGTGGGAAACAAGTAAGAAGTCAGCAGAAGACAAACGCACTTGTATAAATGGTCCGCATAACGAGAGAAAATGCGCGCAAGCTGTTCTTGTCCCAAGCGTTGTGAATTTGCGATGCTGCGTACAAGGAAGCGAAAAGAAGTAGGAGGAAGTTATTCTGCGTCGAATATCAACGGAGGGAATTCAGCGCAATAAAGCTAGTGTAATACACGCAACGAAGCGCGGTGGATCCATTTATCAATATTCATGCAGCCAAATTGACAAGAATACTCAGCCTAGGGAATATCAACGAACGGGCAAACTTAGAGAAAGCCAGATCAGGATAATCGTTCGCTTGGTATTGAAACAACGAACCATACACACTTCGTAATCGCAACATCAGAAATGCAAGTTGGACAGGTGGGATGAAGGCCGTTGCAATGTACGTATCGTCAAAATATGGAAGATAAAACAATGAAAAGAAGGATGGATATAACACAAACAACTTGGGAAGAACAGCTAATAGGGGAAAATATTGGGAAAAAAGTGAAAAACAAGAATAGAATAAAAGTTAGAACCAGTGCACCGAATAAAACATAAAATTTGTTCAGCGCCTAAGCCAGGTAGCACGGACACTAACTAAGAACATGACTTACATCAAATCTAAGAATAAGAGCGAAAAGTACAAATATATAAAGGAATAACTGGCCGCAACGTGTGGGATCAAATAAGCTCAAGATCAACGAGCGTACGAGAACATGAGCACCGCCTAGACCAGAGGTAATCGAATTAAGGCCTGTGATGTCAGATCATCCGACCCGTCGACTATACCCGAACTTACGTGATAAAGCGCACAGAACACGAGAAGTTATACAACTAACCTATCATACTGCATTTCGCATTGTCGGTGATCTCACACGAGCGTGAGTCACCTTATGGTTGTTACGTGTGATAGCGCACTATCATACTATTACTGAGCTCACATCGTTGGGACGCTGATGCGAGTGATCACGCAAAAACCCACTCGTCCCTGCATCGGACTGCGTTTCCGTTTAACTCACACTTCTGTACACAAATGTACAGGTGGTCAGCTTCAATGAAGCACTTATTTTGCAAGTTCAGTATTAAAGCGTACTCCCTGGTTAGTTGTAAGCGGTTGGTACGGAATTTCTGGAAATGCCAATTGTTGTACATCTAGGTGTTGACAAATGCACCTATACATATAGTACCGTAACTAAGTTCCAGCCATGTTTGTTCCTCCGGCCCCAGTTAAAACACTTTGCCCAAGTCTTGTTACCGCACTACCGCCTTGTGTATCATGTCACCTGATAACCGCATGGATGGCATTTGCGATTTCTCATAACTTGACGAATATGACTTAAATCCAATCCAAACCCATGCACGTTTGTAGTATTATTGTTCGTGAGGGTTCAGGTTTTCCTGTTAGGCTTGTGGTAGTTCGTGCACAAGTATGGACAAATGCGTGCCCCATGCTGAGGCTGATGTTGCTTCTTCACCGCAGTTGGGCTAAAGCACCTTACACTTAAACTAGGTCTTTTTAAGCTGGATAAATTTCATTCTAATTTAAGTGGTTTGTTCTACCTACCTCAATAATCTTCTACTACAGAGGAGTAGTAGGGGGAGTGGGATGGTACAGGTAGGAATTCGACACATCACTCAGACAGGCGTCACACGCCGCGTTTCATCCTTTCGGGAGTCGTCAGCAATGCGCATTCCATCGGACCTCGTTAGGGCTCGAACCAGCAACTCGACTATCGCCAGTCCGTGGTTGAGAGCACTGAGCTACGGGAGACGGCAACGACCATCGTAAATAAGTTACTAGATGTGATAAAGCGCCGCTCATTACACATTAACTTACACATTACTGCCGTGCAGAGGACAGGGTAATCAGCGGCGCTATATCACATCTAGTAACTTATTTACGATGGTCGTTGCCGTCCCCTGTAGCTCAGTGCTCTCAACCACGGACTTGCAACAGTCGAGTAACGGGTTCGATCCCTAATAGGGTCCGATGGAATGCGCACTGCTGACGATTGCCGAAAGGATGAAACGCGCGTACAGTGCTTTTCCCGGCGTGCGACGGCTGTCTGAGTGAGTCTAGATGTGACGAATCTTCTATCAACTTGCACACGTTGCTTACGCTAATTGCGCTTATCTACGTTACTTTATTGCGTTTGTAGCATTTTACGAGTAACTTGTGGACACTTTGTACTTGCCGTTTATTCGTTGATAACCAGCTTACGTCATATGCTAATTTAGCGAAGAGTTATGTCTGCATATATACAGATATACCTTTTTGATAATGTTATTTGAAGTGATTGGCTGTTGCTTGATATTCCCGGTGTGTCTGCGCTTGATGAGCATGTTGACAAGGTGCCCGCCTGTCTATTACCCACTACCTCATCCATACTGGCTCCAGGAGACAGCTGCTCGCTGCTGGAGGGGACGGGGTGCACGGTCCTTGTGGCCTTGATAGCTTCGAAGAGTGGTTCCATGCACTCAGTGTGGAGTGGACCACGGTCCAACTACCGGCTTGTGTGCGGTTGATTCCTCAAGTACAGGGTGCTTATGTTTGCCTGTGAAGGAGTATGGGCAGGCTCCGTTGATGGAACGTGGCTCCCATCCGCATGCCTCCCGGTCTTATTCCTTGGGGTTTACACTGGATATGGGGTGTGTGGTTGGAGCTGTGGGTGGTGCAGCGTAGGCCATCCATGGTCCCGCTGTAGGCGCAGGCCACCTGTGGCTGTTGCTGTGGAGGCCACAGTGACAGGCAAATCCGAAACCGGATGCCGCCAACCATGTGGACAAATGCATGAGAGTGTATGTGATAATACAGGATTTGCACTGCCATTGTGCAGTAGCCAAGATCGACGCTGATGAAGTATCTAATGTGCATTATTGTCTCTATGGGGCTAAAGACCTACTGTAGGACGTGAGGTTGACACATGAAACCTCCCGCGTGACATGCAATGCCTGGCTGCGCTTGATGTGAATGTTGACAAGATTCCTATTTGTTTAACACCCTCCACTTTGATTACTGGCTCAAGGAGACTGAATCGTTGCTGGGGGGGACAAGTTGTAGAGTACTCATCGCCGATATTCAATTAAACTTACAAACGTACACCGACAACCAAACCTACTGAATAATAGCCACAATGCCTCGCGGTTCAGCGCATCAAATGCCTTGATGAAATCAACAAAAAACGAGTACAACGGCTGGTGACGTTCTCTACATCTCTGCAACTGACGAGCCGCGAACACAATATCTATGGTGTTGCGGACCCAACGGAATCCGCATCGCTCTTCCGGTACGTTCGGTTCAACGAGTTGAGTGACGAGACAGTTGAGTAGCATTCTAGCGATCACATTCCCCACACAACTCAGCAGGTTGGTGCCATGATAATTCGTGCAACACTGCTTGCTTCTACCATTACACAATGGTAGCACAAGGGCATCCTACAGCTCAGGAGGCACCTCCTCTTCAATGCACATGCGTTGCACCAAGTGATGCAGGGCATTTACCAACATGGGTCAGCTGTGTTTCAATACTTCAGGTGAGATGCCGTCCGCTCCAGCACATTTGCCGTTTCACAGCTGCGTCTCATGCACTGTCGGTGTGTCGGTAAGACACATTTTCACCCCCTGCTGTTGCAGTCCTTGCAACTTGTGTCAGGCAATCTTTGAACTGTTGTCCCAAAGAGTGTCAAAGTAGGTTCGCCAAATCTGCATCATGTCTGCAGTCTACGTGCAAGCAGCGTCTTAAGTAGCACCGAGCAGGCGGGTCCATACAACGCCTTCAAGGAGGCGAAGAATTCCTTATGTTGGCAGCGCTCGGCGTAGCACTCCAGCCGCCTCGCCTTCCCTGACCACCATGCATATTGATGCGACGGAGCTCTAGGGGCAATCGCTGTTGGAGTATGTAAAAAATATTCTCCTTCTCGCAGTTAGCAGGGTCCGTCACATGTGCAGCAAATGCTGCCTTCTTCGCCGACACCAATGTGCCAATGGTCGCACTGTTGTCGTACAACCAATAGAGCCGCCTACTGTTTGCGCGCCCGATGCTTTGTTCGACAGCAACACTCACCTGTTCGCGTATGTGATGCCACAGGTCATTGACTGTGGCGACGGATTTGACATCGTCAATGCAGGTGGCCATCACATTCTCCCGTTACCTCCTGGAGTATGTAATCAAAGTGAAGTGTTACGCAGATGGGAACCTTGTCAACATTCACATCAAGCGCAGCCAGGCATTGCATGTCACGCGGGAGGTTTCAGGTGTCAACCGCACGTCCTACAGTAGGTCGAGTTTATCCCGATGGAGAGGACAAGGTACATTAGATGCTTCATCAGCGTCGATCTTGGCTACTGCACAATGGCAGTGCAAATCCTGTATAATCACATACACCCTCATGCATTTGTCTACACTTGTGTATGAACTACCACAAGCCTAACAGGAAAAAGTGAACCCTCACGAACAATAATAACACAAACGTGCATTGGTTGGGATTGGAGGTAAGTCATATTCATCAAGTTATGAGAAATCGCAAATGCCATCAATGCGGTTCCCAGGTGGCATGATACACGAATAAGATTGCAGTAAGTGATGACTTATCGTTAGTGTGTACCGTAGATGTCATTCTCTGTATGTGAAGTCGGGCTTGCAGCTGATGGAAGTCATACAGCGTGAGAAAGCGACGGAGCGTTAATTGCGGCCCATCTTCTTAAGACTGAATCGTTCCGATTGTCTCCTGTCCGAGGTATGTGCGAATTCCTAAAGAGCGTCTCATTCTCTAATGCAAGCCTTGGCAGGTTACAATCTCACCACTCTCGCTGATGGTCTCCTCGTTGTGACCACAGCAAATAAGTACCAACTGTAAAACACTCGGCCTTCGGAAAGGTATTCAAATCGTTTAGTAAAAAAAAATCCTAAAAGTAGCTTGGCCACTATCGTAGTATTTATGCGAAATCGTCCACAGATGTAGCTGTATACTCTGCTGTGGCGATAAGCTATTTAAAGAGGATCTGTCATTGTAGGTCTAGGGTGTATGCATCCGGCACTCTGAAACAACCGTATCTGTGCAGACTATTTTCCGCACTGAAATAGCATCGCAGTTGAC